CATACATATTTCCAAATAATTTTCTTTACTTCTATGAACCAACTGTGACCATTTTGCTAATTGTCTTCTGGCTATTTGTTTTTCAGTTGATTCCACTGGAAGTAAACATATACTGTAGAGGCAGGTTAAAAATGTATTTGTCCTTCAATTGGTATCATTCCAGAGACAATGTACGGTACAACATCAGGAACATTTTGCGCTAGGGACAGTATTTGTTTCAATCTAATTAAAGTATAGCCTCTGATATCATAAGAGGCCCTCAGTGAGGATAACGAAATCAGAGGTCTATGTTCTAACTAGAATGTATTTGTTTAAGCAATTTTTTGAAAAATAGTTCCAATTTATCAATATTTAATTTGGTTGGTATCAGTATCTCCAGTCCATAAAGAAATGTTGGTAAGACAAATGTTTTCATAATATGAATACAAGTGCTTGGATCTAAACCATGGTTACCGTGAAATTCTGCAGCCATGAGACTATATGCTGTTCTTTTTGCTTTTTGGATGTTTTCATTGATAGTATTATCCAAAGTTTCTATTTTGGACTTTGATCTTTGAGTTCTAAGGTGTGTAGCTTTTTCCACAACTGGCAGTTTCTTGTCTTTCAATTTTAGCTCTACAGAATTATGTCGTTTCTTCCTTTTGTTAACCATCTCAATTACAACACTTTTATGTGGTTGTAATTTGTAATGTTTATTACAACTGTATTCATACGCCATGTTTAAGAGTACTTGAGCTTCATTTGGGTCTGTCGTGTTTAAAGTAACATCATCCGCGCAAGCTGTAGCACAGCAATCTATGTGACCATGCATGTATAGTCTAAGAGACGTGGATGTTAGGTAATTTTTGCCGTTAAAATAAAGGTATCATGCAGGTGTTTAATGTCGGTTAAAAGCTCAATAGAGCTTATGTTATGTCCTTGTTTGTTTACTATGCCGACTCTAAATAAAGCTTACCTATTATTTATTTATTTATAGTATTAAACAATGTTTTAGACGATTTTTAATTTCAAGAATATTACTCCAGTGGAATCGCGGGACCTATATACTAAAGGTCCAAGAGAGATTTCCGATTTTTTTTTACATAAATGTTGATAAATATAGAAAAAGAAATATACAATGCTATATCACCAAAAAATTATGAAAATGACACAACCAGTAAAGTCGTATCCAATTAAAGTTTTAGTAAACAATTAAATCGAAAGTAAAAATTAAATTATCTAAATAATCTAAAAGCTGCTCAGGTGTCCCTACTATTTAAAATAAATATTTCTCTATTAAAGGACATTATATACCTACAGATGTGTTACATGATGTATTTCGAAAATTTATGAACGAGCTATTCATGAATGGAATTTTAAAATAAACATTTTCATCCTCTGCTTTCAGTAATTAAGTCCGGTTTTGGTTGCCAAACAGCACTGTTAACGATAAAAAAGACTTCAAAAAAGCTCTAGACGACAGAAAATTTAATGCTGTTATTTAAATGGATCATTTTAAAGCGACATTCGGTAGTTTACCGTACGATTTACTTTTACTAAATTTGGAAAGAATATGGCATCAAGACGGTTAATAGAAATAAGATGTGGTATGAATGCCAATGAGACAACTCTCCATCCAAGTCACAATGTGTAAAAAGTAAACAATTATAGGTCAAAGTACGGCCTTCAACACGGAGCCTTGGCTGACACTGAACAGCAAGCTATAAAGGGCAACAAAAATATACTAGTGTAAAACAATCCAAACAGGAAAACCAACGGTCTAATCTATATAAAAATCGAGAAACGAGAAACACTCATGCACCACACCAACAAGCGACAACCACTGAACAACAGGCTCCTGACTATTAAACATTCTAAAGTAGATGGTCAAATATCTATTATGCTTGGCAGCTTAACATAAAAATAAGGAGATGTGGTATGATTGCCAATGAGACAACTATCCACCATGAAAGTTCAAATGAAGTGGATGTAAGCAATTATAGGCAACCGTACGGCCTTCAACAATGAGAAAAAAAACATACCGTATGGTCGGCTATAAAAGGCCCCGACATGAAAAATATGAAACCATTCAATTGAGAAAACTAACGGCCTAATTTATAATAAAACAGTTTACAAAAACAAATATGACAGACATGAACTAACGACAACCACCGAACTACAGGCTCCTGACTTGGGACAGGCACATAAAGAATGTGGCGGGGTTAAACATGTTTGTGAACGCTCAACCCTCCCCTAACCTGGGACAGTGGTGTAACAGTACAACATAAGAACAAAATATAAAAATCAGTTGAAAAAGGCTTAACTCATCAGATGGATAAAAATAGAAATACATCTAACAAAAACACAAAGCGGACGTGGACGGGTACTTATACATCCCAAAAACAAAAAGACACTAACTAAAGTACAGATTTGAGAGTACTCGCAGTTACTGACAGCTAGTTCAAAGCCAATAACAACTAATGAAAAAAATCATGTATCTAAGACTAAAATATCAATCAGTACACATCCAACATCCAATGGATTTAGTGTAAAGACGTCATTAACAGTCAGAGAAAAACATGACCTTGTGCAATGCCAAACTATAAGTATCGACAGATTGTAGTACATATGTGTAATATTTAGTATGGTTTTAATTTACTGATAACAAAATCAATATTTACACCAATAAAAACAATATTCAAAGATTCAATGACAGTGTTGAATAGGTAACCTTTTAGAATAAGTTTATTTAAAGGATTGATAGGTTTACCCGGATCTTATCTAAATTTTCGGGCTCGGCTTACAACATCACTCTAAAATGTAGGATATGCGCTATTCCGTTTGAAATAAGTTTTCTACAGGTACAGCCAAACATGCAGACCAAATCTTTGTATCTATATAAGAATTTAGTAAAGGTTTTAAGTAATTTGTGGTAACGAAATCCCTGACTTAATAATTTACTAGTAATACATAGATTACGCTCATTAAAATCCAAAACGTCACTACAAACATAGCATATTAATCGTTTACTCTCTCAAATTTTAACTATTGTCCAGTAAGTTGGCACTAGTGATGCGAAAACAATCTTTTCAAGTAAAAATGAAAATAAAATAAAGAACTTATGAATGATCGCATGTAATAGACACAGATTATCATAGTTTTCATCAAAATCTGCTAGGAAAAACAAAACATTCTTTAAGAATAAGGAGAATAAAAACGTTTGCCATTAGTGTAAACAATATTTTATTGTGAAAATATTCACATAAACATTGCAATATGACAGTTTTATCGGGATTGGAAAATACGTTTGCTTTGAAAAATTAAAAAAATAATTCATAAAAGTCCAAGTTATCTACATAATTTAATTGATATTTAAAATCAAAACTATAATTTTATGAAACAGCAGTAATCACAAGAGAATTACCAGATTTGGTTGAAATCTTTTCTTTCGATGCTGCACAAATCTGGGATGAGCTGCTATACCACAGTCGCATGGAAACATCTTTTTAGCAATATCATAAACTGACTAATATACCGTAGGCAATCATGCCGGATCCCGACATTACAGCTATTAAAGCCGGTGACGCGCATGCATATACATGTAGTGCTATAAAGCTTGTGTTTTTTTTCAGTTTATGATACTTTTTGACTTGTACTGCTTTTTTTAGTTGCCATTTTCTCCGTGATATTTCAGTCTTTTTATATGAAAAAAGGAGGTGTGGTATATGAATGCGAATGAGACAACTATCCATCAGAGTTCAAATGACGAGAATATATCAATTATAGGTCACCGTACGGCCTGTAAAAACTAGAAAATCGTAACCGTATAGTAATTATAAAAGGCATTGACATGCAAAATGTTAATCAATTCAAACGAAAAACTAACGTCCTTATTTATAACTATACAATTTACGGAAAACAAATATGACAGATAAAAACCAACGACAACCACTGAATTATAGGCTCCTGACTTTGGACAGAGACATATAACCATGATAACCGAGAATGTGGTGGGGGATAAGCATTTTTAACACTCAACCCTACTGAAACATAGTGCAGTCGTGTAACAGCACAACATAAGAACAAACTGTTCAAAACAGTTGCAAATGGCTTGACTCAATAGATCGGTATACGAGCGGCACAAAACAAAACCAACCTAAATAAAAAATATAGATACAAAGTACCGATAAAAGAGTACTCGCAGTTACTGAAAGCTAGCTTAAAGCCAACTACAACTACTACATGTAATATATGAACTATGTTATAACAGACTAAAGTATCAATCCTGAGTACACATCCTACGGATTTAGATTAAATGACGTCATAACTGAAAGTCTGAGAAACGGATGATCTTGTGAATGCCAAAATATTTGAAAACGGTATCTACAGGATGTAGGATCACGAGTACTCATAGCTGCACATATATAAAAATAAATATTTCGTTATGATTACATTTTTGAAAACAAAATCACTGATGTTATTACCGAAAAAAAAAAACAATATCTAAAGATTTTACAACAGTGTTGAACTGGTTACCTTTTATAATACGGTTATTCTTAGTTGGTATAATGTATTGTGTTTAATTTTTTTGTTAACTTAAAAAAAAAAACGTTTTCAAATATATTGTGTTAATTATGCGTGTGGTTTTTTCTAAAACCTGACTTTAAGCAATGTCTTTTTAAAACCTTTAGTTGACACTTAATTATCTCATTATCTTAACATGCATTGTATGTTTAGAAATGTGTTGTTTACATGACTTTTGTATATATGTCATAATATGTGTCTCATACTAATAATATATCGACTTTAGATAAAACTTTAAATTAAGGACCGTGTACGGGATAAGTGACATAATTTAATTAATAATTTTCACATTAACAGAAAAATATTATATATGCTTTTAGGTGTTGAAACTTAATTTTGTGTTTTTTTGTTTCAAAGGGTGAAGCTAGTTACTCTTTAAATATTGAATAAATAAAAAAAAATGAAAAAAGAACACAATAACTGATGACGTAGTAAGATATTGCACAATCAAAACGAAAGCTGGGTCACTGCTTCTATTTTTGGTATCAAATTTTCTATAAAAGACTTTAAAAGTTGCACAACCCTATTAGTATACATAACACAGATTGTGCAGAATCGAAAGAGAAACTTAATAAGTTAAACTTTAATCTAGTAATATCACCTGATTGTCACAGTTTGAAGAAATGGAGTCCCGTATGTCCTGTCCTGTTTGCCACGAGGGCATCGATGTGTTTGCTGTTGGTTGCTGTGATCATGTCATCTGTTATAAATGTTCTTGTCGAATGCGTGTACTCTGCGAACAGTTCTATTGTCCTATCTGTCGAACAGATTTACCACAGGTCAGTTCCCTCAAAATTAATATCTACCAGATTGTGAAGGCTGTTCATCTAAATATTATTTATATAATTAAAGGTTTGTTACACAGGCGCTGGGTATAGATCCCTTTTAAAAAAATAATTTGTTTATGACTTTTTTTACCAAGTTTATGTTCTTGCTCTTATTACATTCTTTCAATAACAGTAGATGCTTGCCATGCTTGTGTACCTCTATTCTTATTTTCCATTATAAGAACAGAGGGACAGCATGTACAGAAGAATCCATGACAAATCGCCCCACTGGCAAATCGCCCCACACCTAATCGCCCCACTTTTTCACCAATTCGCCCCACTTTCTAAAAAATCGCTCCACTCTTGTTTACCAACTCGCCCCACTTATAAAAAAGGGTAAAATCCCATTGAAAATAGGTTGGATAACTTGCCCCACTTATGAAAAGGGTAAAAATCCCGCTGAAATAAAGTCTGCCAACTCGCCCCACTCATGACAAATAGATAAACCACGATGAATTCAGTAATGCCAACTCGCCCCACTTATGAAAAATGATACAATCCCGTTGTATATCTATGTTCCTGCCCCACTTATAAATAAAATCAATACCTATAAAAACCCTAGATAAACAGGTTTTTGTAGTTCTTTCTTTTTGTTGAAATAAAGCAGAAAGAAGTCTGCGACTTGAATGCCAACTAGCCTCACTTGTGAAAAATAGAAAAATCCTGATGAATTGAGTCATGCCAAATCACCCCACTTATGAAAAATAGAAAAATCCTGATGAATTGAGTCATGCCAACTCGCTCCACTTATGAAAAAGGAAGTAATGCCGTTGAATTTATGTCTGCCAACTCACCCCACTGATAAATAAAAGTATGTACAGAATTAAAGCCTACCAACTAGCCCCACTTAATGAATAAAAGAATTAAACTGTAATGCAGATTAGTTTTCATTTTAGTGAGGCGAGTTGGCAGACCTGAAAATTATATATTCATCTAGATTTTACCTTTTATCATAAAGTGGGGCGAGTTGGCAGGAAAAAAATTAACGCGATTTAACCTTTTCACAAGTGGGGCGATTTTTTTAAAAGTGAGGCGAGTTGGTAAACCAGTTTGGGGCGATTTTTATACGACCGCAAACAAATTTTGAGGTCGTATATTGGTATGACGTTGGCGTCGTCGTCGTCCGGCGTCGTCGTCCGAATACACAATGGTTTTCGCACTCTAACTTTAGTTTAAGTGAATGGATCTCTATGAAATTTTACCATAAGGTTCAATACCACAATAGGAAGGTTGGGATTGATTTTGGGGGTTATGGTACCAACAGTTAAGGAATTAGGGGCCAAAAAGGGGCCGAAAATAAGCATTTTTGTAACTTCCAGACATAACTTGTGTGTTAGCATATGGATCTCTTTGACATTGTACCACAAGATTCCATATCACAAAGGGTCAATGCTGGGATTGATTTTGGGGTTAATTGCCTCAAAATTTTAGGAATAAGGGGCCAAAAGGGGGCAAAAAACAAGCATTTTTCTAGTTTCATGACAATAACTTGTGTGTAAGTGTATGGATCTTTCTGAAATTTTACTACAAGGTTCCATTTCACAAAGGGAAAGCTGGAATTGAGTGTTGTGGTAATTGCCCAAAACGTTTAGTAATAAGGGGCCTAAAAAGGGGTTTAAAATAAGCATTTTTTAGTTTCTAGACAATAACTTGTGTTCAAGTGTATGGATCTCTCTAAAATTGTATTACAAGGTACCATACCACAAAGGCAAGGCTGTTATTGAGCTTGGTTTGGGGGAAAAGGGGGGCGGGGGTAAAAAAAGGGGTAATTTTTTTTTTTCCTTTTTTTTTTGTTTAAAATTTACATTTTAAGTTAGTTATTTTTTATCACGAAGAGAAAGTAGGAATTGAGTTTTGGGGTTAAATGCTCAAACATTTATGAATAAGGGGCCAAATATTGGTCAAAAATAAGGATTTTTATACGACCGCAAAAAAATTTTGTGGTCGTATATTGGTATGACGTTGGCGTTGTCGTCGTCGTCGTCGTCGTCGTCGTCGTCGTCCGAATACACATTGGTTTTCGCACTCTAACTTTAGTTTAAGTAAATGGATCTTTTTGAAATTTGACCATAAGGTTAAATACCACAAAAGGAAGGTTGGGATTGATTTTGGGGGTTATGGTACCAACAGTTAAGGAATTAGGGGCCAAAAAGGGGCCAAAAATAAGCATTTTCTAGTTTCCAGACAATAACTGTGGAACGGTGTATGGATCGCTCTGAAATTATACTACAAGTTTCCATACCACAAAGGGATGGTTAGGATTTGCTTTGGGGGGTTATGGCTCAAACCGTTTAGGAATTAGGGGCAAAAAAGGGGGAAAAACAAGGTTGTCCTGGTTAATGGACAAATACTTTAGTACAAAACATAATTTAAAGCAGTGTAAGGGAGATAAATCAAATACATCATTGAAATTATCTCCCTTACACTGCTTTTAAATTATGTATAAAGTAATGGTTAATGAACAATAAAGATAATTTAAAACAGTGTAAGGGAGGTAATCAAAATACAACGTTTTGGTTACTTCCCTTACACTGCTTTTAAATTATGTTTAAAGAAATGCATATTTATAAAGGAAGACCAGTAAAAATATCTGCAAATGTTGCATCTTTTTTTTTTTACAAAAAAATCCATATGAAAGATTTGACACTATATTTTTAATTCTATTATAAAATAAATTAAGTTAGCACTATGGTAAATTTAAATGGGTAATTATGGTTGCCAACTCCATTGGAAATTTGAATTGAGATTATGACCATATCTTGAGGGAAAGAATTTTTTTGGGGAAAAAAAGGGGGGGGGGGGATAAAAAGAAATTGTGGGGGGTCAATTTTTTCTCATTTCAGATTTCAGAAATTAAAAACATTATTCTTCAAATATTATTTTTTTTTCAAATTTCAAATATTGAAAAATTTCAAGAAGAAATCTTTAATTGCACAGTATGGCGCATTAAATTTGTAAAATCTTTGATCACATTTATTTATTTGTTATGCCGAATCCAACAGTGTATTTAGATTTTTAATTTTGGGTCCAGTTTTCAAATTGGTCTACATTAAGGTCCGAAGGGTCCAAAATTAAACTTTGTTTGATTTTAGCAAAAATTGAATATATGAGGTTCTTTGATATGCTGAATCTAAACATGTATTTAGATTTTTGATTTTTGGCCCAGTTTTCAAGTTGGTCCAAATTGGGGTCCAAAATTGAACTTTGTTTGATTTCAACAAAAATTGAATATATGGGGTTCCTTGATATGCTGAATCTAACCATGTATTTAGATTTTTTATTTGTGGACCCCGTTATCAAATTGGTTCATATTGAGGTCAAAAGGGTCCAAAATTAAACTTTGTTTGATTTCATCTAAAATTGAATTATTGGGGTTCTTTGATATTCCAAATCTAACCGTGTATTTAGATTTTTAATTTTGGGTCCTGTTTTTGAAATTGGTCTACATTAAGGTCCAAAGGGTCCAAAATTAAACTTAGTTTGATTTTAACAAAAATTGAATTCTTGGGGTTCTTTGATATGCTGAATCTAAACATGTGTTTAGATTTTTGATTATGGGCCCAGTTTTCAAGTTGGTCCAAGATAGGGTCCAGTATTTTAACTTTGTTTGATTTCAACAAAAATTGAATATATGGGGTTCTTTGATATCCTGAATCTAAATATGTATTTAGATTTTTGATTATGGGCCCAGTTTTCAAGTTGGTCCAAATTGGGGTCCAAAATTAAACTTTGTTTGATTTCAACAAAAATTGAATATATGAGGTTCTTTGATATGCTGAATCTAACCATGTATTTAGATTTTTTATTTGTGGGCCCCGTTATCAAATTGGTTCATATTGAGGTCAAAAGGGTCCAAAATTAAACTTTGTTTGATTTTATCAAAAATTGAATTATTGGGGTTCTTTGATATGCCATATCTAACCATGTTTTTAGATTTTTAATTTGGGTCCCGTTTTTTAAATTGGTCTTCATTGAGGTCCAAAGGGTCCAAAATTAAACTTAGTTTGATTTTAACAAAAATTGAATTCCTGGGGTTCTTTGATATGCTGAATCTAAACATGTGTCTAGATTTTTTATTATGGGCCCAGTTTTCAAGTTGGTCCAAGTTGGGGTCTAAAATTAAACTTTTTTTGATTTCAACAAAAATTGAATATATGGGGTTCTTTGATATGCTGAATCTAACCATGAATTTAGATTTTTTATTTGTGGGCCCCGCTATCAAGTTGGTTCATATTGAGGTCAAAAGGGTCCAAAATTAAACTTTGTTTGATTTCATCAAAAATTGAATTATTGGGTTCTTTGATATTCCAAATCTAACCGTGTATTTAGATTTTTAATTTTAAGTCCCGTTTTTTAAATTGGTCTACATTAAGGTCCAAAGGGTCCAAAATTAAACTTAGTTTGATTTTAGCAAAAATTGAGTTCTTAGGGTTATTTGATATGCTGAATCTAAACATGTGTTTAGATTTTTGATTATGGGCCCAGTTTTCAAGTTTGTCCAAGTTGGGGTCCAAAATTAAACTTTGTTTGATTTTAACAAAAATTGAATATATGGGGTTCTTTGATATGCTGAATCTAACCATGTATTTTGATTTTGGACATTGGACCATAATAGGTAAATTAAAAAAATTCAAGTTCTTAGACCTCATTCTTTCTGTGTCAGAAACCTATGCTGTGTCAAATATTTAATCACAATCCAAATTCAGAGCTGTATCAAGCTTGAATGTTGTGTCCATACTTGCCCCAACTGTTCAGGGTTCGACCTCTGCGGTCGTATCAAGCTGCGCCCCAGCGAAGCATTTTATTTTAGTTTGCAACAAAAACTTGTGTTCAAGTGTATGGATCTCTGTGAAATTGTATTGCAATGTACCATACCACAAATTGAAGGTTGTGATTGAGGTGGGGGATGATGAATCAAAAGGGGGTTGAAAAAATGTGTGGGAGGTAGGATTTTTTTTTTTCTTTTTTTTTTCTTTAAAATTTTCCATTTAAAGATGGTTGTTTCAGATTTATATATGAAAGAAAATAATAATGATACGGTTATATATCATGAGGAATTGAAATTTAAAATTATGTATATTGGAAATTTAGGTTACATTGGAAAGTAATAATTGGCTTTTGGGGGGGTTATGGCTCTAATGTTTAAGGAATAAGGGGAAAAAAGGTTTAAAAACAAGGGTTTCCATTTTAATAGACAAATAATTGAGTAAAGAACATTATTTAAAAGCAGTGTAAGGTTGGTAATTCAAACTCATTTAAATATCTCATCTACACTGCTTTTAAATTATGTAAATTGGAAATTTGCCAATAACTTTATTGTTAATAAATGCATTGGAAATTTGCCAACAATTTTAGTGTAATAAACTTCATTGGAAATTTGCCAATATAAAATTTTGCTGATGAAGGTTTTTTGTTTACCTTTAGCCTTGACTATGAAGTCATTTTCTATTTTTATAGCCTTATGATGTAGTTGAATTATTTAATACTTTTATGATGTGTTTAAATGGGGTTTTATCATGTTTATGGTTGCAAATTTATTGTTTTAGTATAATAAACTCCATTTAAAATTTGCCAATAAAAAAAATTTTTGTTTATTTTTAGCTATGATTATGATGTCATTTTCTATTTTACTTTTATGGTTGCAAAGAAATTTTTATTTTTAGATATTACTGTTAAATGATGCTGATTAAGGTTTTTGCTATGTTTAGCCATGACTATGATGTCATTTTCTATTTTAATATCTGTTATGATGTATTTAAATGGGCTTTTATGGTTACAAAGGAATTTTATTTTTAGATATTACTATAAAATGTTGCTGATGCTGATTAAGGATTTTGTTTATTTTTAGCCATGACTATGATGTCATTTTCTATTTTAATACCTTTATGATGTAATTTCCATTTTTAGATATTACTGTTAAATGATGCTGATTATTTGCTATGTTTAGCCATGACTATGATGTCATTTTCTATTTTAATATCTTTATGATGTATTTGAATGGGCTTTTATGGTTACAAAGGAATTTTATTTTTAGATATTACTTTAAATGTTGCTGATTAAGGATTTTTGTTTATTTTTAGCCATGACTATGATGTCACTTTCTATTTTAATACCTTTATGATGTATTTAAATGGGCTCCCATGTATTTAGATTTTTGATTATTTATACATGTTACCAAATTGGTCCACATTGAACAAAAACGGTCCAAATTTCAACTTTATTACATTACATCAAACATTGAATTCTACATATTCTTTGATATATTGAAATTAACAAACAATTTAGTTTATGGATATTCCACCATAATAGGTAAATTAAATTTTTTCCAGTTCTTACACCACATTCATCCTGTGTCAGAAACCTATTCTGTGTCAAATATTTAATGACAATCCAAAGTCATAGCTGTATCAAGCTTGAATTTTGTGTCCATACTTGCCCCAACTGTTCAGGGTTCGACCTCTGCGGTCGTATCAAGCTGCGCCCCAGCGAAGCATTTTATTTTTAAAGTAGGGCGAGTTGGTGAAAAAGTGGGGCGATTTGGTGTGGGGCGATTTGCCAGTGGGGCGATTTGTCCTGCTTCCGTACAGAATACTTGTAAGATTGTATGTATAGGAGTAAGAACATAATAAATTAGGGAAAAATCTTAAAAAGCACCCACAATAAACTCAGAAAAAAAGAGGTACATGCCCCAAGCACTTTTGGTTTTGGTGAGGGTTTCAGAGACTAACTAAACATGCTAAAGAGAGTGTCATTTAATGATATATATATTTCTGATACATTAGTCTTGATTTAAATAAGCATGTAACTTTTACAATGTTAATTTTTATCCCTTGGCAAAACTATACATTCCGTGTTTTTACACAAAATTACAGATTAAAGCTCATTAATAGTTATCATCGGTCTGTAATAAGTACATGTACCATGTCCCCAGCGGAAGCAAGTCAACTTGTACCATTGCAAACTTGTATCATGTCAACTCATACCACTAAAAGTCAACTCTTACCACTGTGAACTCATACCATTATGTAGTTATGTGTGTAGGTGTAATACCACCAAATCATAGTACATCACATCCAATTTCATACGAAAAAGGGTAGAAAAAAATATTCCCTTGAATTTGACAGTTGTAGGAAATTAATCTTACATTTCATTGCAGTAAAAAATTTCTGAGTCATAAACATGATACACATATACCTTCATTTGATCTTGGGAAGTTGGGTGTTTCAAAGCACCATTCTTTTTTTATTTGGTGTTTCTATAAAATATTTTGGAAACTTGAGGTTACATGGTTACTAAAGCTTGTAAACAAGAAAGAAAGGGTGGACATTTGATTGGTTAACTTCCAATGATGGTTATTATCTTATATGCAATGACATGTTATGTGAAATTTTGTCTGTAGTACTGGACAGAATAAAACTTTGCTCATGCCAAGTATTTCTTTATTTGAAACAAAGATATATTCTGCACATTTTTTGAACAGTGCAAATTGAACAAAGACTAATAGGGGAAAAACAATGATGGTATTACACCTGTAATCAACTTGTTTAACATGTTTAATCCAATTATTAAATTATGATTGGTGTTTAATAATTTAACAGCTTGGAATTCATTGTATATTAATAATAATTGGTTAAAAAAACAAGATTCAATTGTAATTACTAAGTTGTTTTATTTTATATTGCAGGTTTATCTGATAAAAGAAGCCTTAAAATTTAGTGAAATTCCTAGACATGGGTATATTCAAAATAGGAGAAACAAGATCTTTTTCCAAAATGAGGATATTAAACACTCATTTGATAATATTCTGGAAAATCGATGTCAGATCTGTGCCCATGCCAGGCCTGAAAGATGCTTCAAAGATTTACAGAATCATTTGAGAAAACAACATACTTTGTTCTATTGTAATCTTTGTGTGGATCATTTAACGGTAAAAATTTAAAAATTTGAAACTTAAGACAACTATATGTACTTTTAATGGTATAAAAAAAGGAGCTGTAGTATGATTGTCAATATGACAACTATTCACCAGAGTCCAAATGAAGTGGATGTAAGCAACTATAAGTATGGCATTCAACAATGAGCAAAACCCATACTGCCCGACTAGTATTCCATAAAAGGCCCTGACCTGTCAACATTAAAAAATTTCTGTATTTTAACAAATATTGTTGAAAAAAATCCCATGAAAATCGTCATAAAATTTATTAATAAAATGGACATGATGGACGCAAAATTTTTTTTATTGACATGATTGATGGATTGATTGAGTGTGTATTTTCTCTAATTTTACAATAACTTTTCATATGTTTACAGAACTTTGTAAAAAGTATCTGTTCATGTTAAATGAAAGTGGTGCTAAACATATAAACAATCAAAATCTGTGTTTTAATTTTAATGTTTGAACAGGTTTTGTATTCTCTATTTCAGTTATTGCCATCGGAAAGAAAATTTTATAATCGTCATGATTTAGCAGCTCATCGTCGTCAAGGAGATAAAGATGATAAATCTTATAAAGGTCATCCAAATTGTGAATTTTGTGATGAAAGATACTTTGATAAAGATGAGTTGTATAGACATTTACGTAAAGATCACTATTTCTGTCACTTTTGTGACCCAGAGGGATGCAGTGAATTTTATAAGTAAGTCAAACAAATGTTTTTGTATTCTCTTATAATTCATTCAAAAGTTTCTAGATTTTAAAATGTGTCAGGTTAACACATACCCTATAACCTTAATTGTTACTGAGGGGAAAAACCATAAATATGTAATTTATACAAAATCAATGCATTCATAAAAGAGGACTTAACAAAAGTTCATTGAGACACAAATATAAATAAATGATGTGATATACAACCATACATGTATTACAATACAATCACACATGTATTACAATACAATCACACATGTATTACAATACAATCACACATGTATTACAATACAATCATACATGTATTACAATACAATCATACATGTATTACAATACAATCATACATGTATTACAATACAATCACACATGTATTACAATACAATCACACATGTATTACAATACAATCACACATGTATTACAATACAATCACACATGTATTACAATACAATCACACATGTATTACAATACAATCATACATGTATTACAATACAATCATACATGTATTACAATACAATCATACATGTATTACAATATAATCATATATGTATTACAATACAATTATATATGTAATTACACTACTTAAATAAAATGTAAGCTAAAAGTACTTAAGCAGATAACAGTGAATTTACTCTGATGTTGGTGACTGCATCTTCAAAACAAAATAGCGTATGGAAGAAAATTCATTTATACAACCCCACAACTTTCCTTATAAAGTGCTAGTGCAAAGTCAGAACTATGAGAGTAAGTTGTCAATTGTTCCCATGAAGATCATTTGAAATTCAGGAAATTTAAGGCAAAACTAATTTTTTTTTTTTTTAGAAAATATACCTTGAAGTTTTGTTATGTCGAAAATAAAAGAACTTAACTTTTTGAAGTGGAATTATTTGAAACTTTGACCTTTATTTATAATATCATTTCAGTGACTATCAATCATTGAGGAATCATTTTGGAGAGAAGCATTATTTATGTCAAGAAGGAGCTTGTTCTGGTGTTGAGGTGCGTTTGACTCATGCTTTCCGTTCCAAGATAGATTTTCAGGCTCATACAACTGCAGAACATGCTAATAACTTAACCAAAGCCCAGGCTAAACAACTACGTACCATAGACATAGATTATCAGTTACCACGGAGGGAAACTCAAAGGAGGAGAGACAGGGGTAAGTCTAATAATTTAACCAAAGCCCAGGCTAAACAACTACGTACCATAGACATAGATTATCAGTTACCACGGAGGGAAACTCAAAGGAGGAGAGACAGGGGTAAGTCTAATAACTTAACCAAAGCCCAGGCTAAACAACTACGTACCATAGACATAGATTATCAGTTACCACGGAGGGAAACTCAAAGGAGGAGAGACAGGGGTAAGTCTAATAACTTAACCAAAGCCCAGGCTAAACAACTACGTACCATAGACATAGATTATCAGTTACCACGGAGGGAAACTCAAAGGAGGAGAGACAGGGGTAAGTCTAATAACTTAACCAAAGCCCAGGCTAAACAACTACGTACCATAGACATAGATTATCAGTTACCACGGAGGGAAACTCAAAGGAGGAGAGACAGGGGTAAGTCTAATAACTTAACCAAAGCCCAGGCTAAACAACTACGTACCATAGACATAGATTATCAGTTACCACGGAGGGAAACTCAAAGAAGGAGAGACAGGGGTAAGTCATCAGCAAATCAATTATTTTAATGATGATAGATTGATTGATTGATTGTTAGTTGCTTAACGTTCAGTGGTAATGATGATAGACCTCTATCTGACAACATGTTTGATTGTTTAAGGCATTTACATTCTTCCAACACTATATCATGCTCTCTTAAAAATCATAGTATCCTTAATTGTTGATTTTCTTTAAATTGATTATAAATTTGTTATGTGTAAAACGTGTAAATTTAATTATTACTGAGCTATTTGTTATTTGGGAAACGTATAACAGAACTATCATCACATTCATTAAAACTGTTAATTTAATTCTTTTAAGTTATCATTCTTTTACAAGTTTACAAAAACACAATTACCAATATCTTGTTGCTAGTTGTCAATGTTCACAATAATAAATGCTTGATTTAAATTTATATGAATATACAGAAAACAAATTGACTTTATCCTTTAAATATTTTATGACACCTAATTGTATATTGTTAATATTAGCTGACGTTTTTATGTTGTAAATTTTAGGTGCTGTAAATGCTGGTGATTATGAAGATGTTAGACCTGTACAGACACAAGTATTCCATAATAATAGAGGTTCCAGAGGGAGACAAAGATATGAGGAACCTAGAGGGTATAGAAGAGGAAACTTCAGGTAATATAAACATGAAAATAACAGGTAGATATAACCTAGAAAACGATACACAAAACAAGAAAACGAAAATTAACGAGTCAGATACATGTATGTGAACACAAAAAAAGATACAGTAGACTCCGGCAAATCGGATACCCAAAATGTCAGCTAAAAATATCCGATAACCCGATATATTCAATTAGACGATGAATGTATATTCATTGAATATTCTGCAATAATGAGTAGATATAATCCTGAGATGTAACTAACCCTGACAATTGCTAAATATGTGAAAGGGCTGGAGGATTGATGGAGTGATTTTTATCAGTTACATCACCAGGATGTTTGTGTAAAAAATTATCAGCTGATTATGTAATGATTAAATTTGTTTGCAGTTTTTAAATCCTTTATTTATTAAAATAAATCAAATGTCCTGAAATATTTTGTGAATTATTATCTTCCATCCATAGTTTATCTTTATTTGTTTTGTAAGCAAATTAATATCCATTATTTACATTATCACACAGGTAAACTAATTTGGCTATAAATAGATCTAAGCATGTCTGTGTAGAATCTCCAAACTAAAATCGTATTTGTTATAACTTTATTTCTTTAAATAATCAAATTTAAATTTATGAAAATAATCATGATTGATAAAATATTATTGCATAAAGTTTACGTTTTATGAAGACTATTTATATTTAGGTCATAGTTCTAGAGGCTTCCTCACAAATTTGTAAACATCCAAAATGGCGTCCATGACATGTGGTTACTTTTGCACATGTGAAAAAAATATATCTGACAAAAGTCAGATTTCTCTTGTCAAAAGGGATTTATATTTATATTGCAATAAACTATTCAGAAGGAGGTACATTCAGTTTAGATTATATTTCTGATTCTGTGAACATTTAGAGTTTAATCAAAATTCTCCAAACAGCAACGTCAACTTGTCAAGTCTTGCATATTATATAAATAAATTCAAACCATTTGAAGTAAAAGGGCATCTAATTCACATGACAAAGGAAGACAATGATTAAAGACAACAATTTATTAAGAAATAGTTCCTTTTATTTAGTAAAAACAAAATCTTCTTGTCTGCAAGATTGTAAATTCGTAACTTCCGGGTCCATTTCCTGTCAGAAAAATATTGAAAATATCCGATTGTGCATGGTTTTGAACAAAATGACCTGAATATTCTTATCCGATTTGCCGATATATTCTTATATCCGATATTGGATTACACGATAAAATTAACATTAAACATATAGGGAAGGGTTTGGTGTTTTGAAATAATATTACAATAGCCGATATATTCGTTTAGCCGATATCCGATTAGGTGGAGTCTACTGTACCAATAGAAGAAAACAAATCGAAGAAAACAAATCTTAAGCTTTTGTCAATACAAACTCCCATCAAAATGTAGAGTGAATCTAACCTAAAACTGAATTAGGACACAAATGGGTATTGTATCAATTAAAACAGAAATTTCAGTTGCAGGAATATATTATTTTTCTCAGGAAATTTGTACAAGTTTTTGAGAAATCAATTTTTATACAACCGTCATATATTGGTATGACGTTGGCGTTGTCGTCGTCCGAAGACACATTGGTTTTCGCACAATAACTTAAGTTAAAGTGAATGGATCTCTATGAAATTTTACCATAAGGTTCAATACCACAAAAGGAAGGTTGGGATTGATTTTGGGGGTTATGGTCCTAACAGTTTAGGAATTAGGGGCCAAAAAGAGGCCCAAAAAGGCATTTTTATACGACCACAAACAATTTTATGGGATTGTATAATGGTATGATGTCTGCGTCGTCGTCCGAAGACACATTGGTTTCGGGACAATAACTTTAGTTTATGTTAATGGATCTCTATGAAATTTTTTAAGAAGGTTCAATACCACAAAAGAAAAGTTGGGATTGATTTTGGGGATGATGGTCCCAACCGTTTAGGAATTAGGGGCCCAAAAGGGGCCCAAAACAAACATTTTTCTAGTTTCAGGATAATAACTTGTGTATAAGTATTTCGATTGCTCTGAAATTGTACAACAATGTTTAATACCACAAGTAGAAGGTTGGGATTCATATTAGGGGTTATGGGGCAAACAGTTTAGGAATTAAGGGCCTAAAAGGGGCCAAAAACAACAAATTTTGTAGTTTCCGGACAATAACTTGTGTGTAAGTGTATGGATCTCTCTGATATTGTACCATAAGGTTCCATATCACAAAGGGAAGGCTGGGATTGAGTTTGGGGGTAATTGCCTCAAACATGTAGGAATTAGGGGCCAAAAAAAGGGCCAAAAACATGCATTATTCTAGTTTCCAAACGATAACTTTTGTTAGGTGTGTATGGATCTCTCTGAAATAGTACTACAAGGTTCCATGCTACAAAGGAAAGAATTGGATCGAGTCTTGGGGTAATTGCTCCAAGGGGGATTCCAAAAGTCGGGGGGGGGGGGGGGGGGGGGGAATGGGGTGTCTTCAATTGCACAGTATTGCACAATAGATTTATAAGATCTTTTACCACATTTTTTTTTGTGTCAGAAACCTATATTATGTCAAAAATTTAATCACAATCAAAATTCAGACAGTATCAAGCTTGAATATTATATCCAAATTTGCCCCAACTGTTCAGGGTTCAACCTCTGCGGTCGTATCAGGCTGTGCTCAGCGAAGCATTTTATTCTAGTTTCCAGACAATAACTTGTGTTTAAGTGTATGGATCTCTCTGAAATTATACCACAAGTTTCCATACCACAAAGGGATGGTTTGGATTGGCTTTGGGGGGTTATGGCTCAAACTGTTTAGGAATTAGGGCAAAAAAAGGGGGAAAACAAGGGTTTCCTGGTTAATGGACAATTAAAAAGTAGTGTAAGGGAGGTAATCCAAAAACAAAATTGTACAATGTTGTACAATGTTGGATTACCTCCCTTACACTGCTTTTAAATTATCTATTTAAGACTTTTATGATGTATTTAAATGGGTAATTATGGTTGCAAACTTCATTGGTAATTTGAATTGAGATTATAACCAGGGCTTCCAAAATTATTTTTAGCCAGCCGGACATTTTATATATTATCCCGATTTTAATCCTTTAAGACTAAATAAACAAAAGGCAATTATGGTAATCAGTTGCCGAGTTGGCCATCCCAATGATTGATATTTAAAAAAAAACGATATTAAACTTTCTTTGATTCAAATTTGAAGTTCTGAAGTAAACTGTTAAATTGGCAGTGCATCATCCGAAGTGTGCAACATCAGCGTACTTATATCTGCCTTAGACTCTTTATTTGTGCAAAATAACGTTGTCAAAAACTTTACTTTCGTTTTAAATCTGAAACCGGATGTTATCTTGACAATGGTAAAACATTGACCAGAGACGGATACGTAAATTCCGTGTACTTTTGCAAAGCATGAATGAGTGTAAGTAGCTCATTCTACGTTATTTCTTCAAGAAAATATTCGAAATAAACGTGAGATAAAGGTATCAATGACAATTTAAGCATTTTTTTAAGAAATTAGGATGCATAATTAAATTTCACACCTGCGCACATGCACATGCACACACGTGTACTAGTTCAAACAGAGACATGTCTCTGGTTCAAACAACGTCAACGTGGATATGATGAATTTTCATTTTCACCTCTTTAATTTTTTATCAAATCTTATTTGTAAATGTATTTCTGATAATTTTAATCTTTTTGACTAAATTAATTAGATGCAAACCGGTGAAATGTAAGAAAATAACTTTGAATAGACCGATCAATGTCCGGTTCAAAATAGTTTACCTGTCACCTGAACAGGTAAATTTCAGCTGTTCGACAACTAATTAGCCTCGATTAAAATGAGAACGTATTAAAGTAGGGGTTGTTTCGATAGTACTTAATGATCATGTCACTTTTATGACCGGAAATAAGTGGCTGTTAAAGGCTAAAGGTTGGGTCAAAAAGATCGCGAATTATGTTAAAATGACCGTCTCTTAAGAAAGCCTTGACAAATAAAAAGTAGATGACCGTTTCGTGCTTTGCCCAGCCGGACTTTTACCGGACATTATACAAATGTCCGGAATATATGACCGTTTTGGAAGCCTTGATTATAACCATATCTTGAGGGAAAGAATTTTTTTTTTGGAAAAGGGGGGGAGGGGCAATTTTTTTTTTTTTTTTTTTTGGGGGGGGGGTGGGGTTTCAATTCACACAGGCACAGTGTATTGCACAAAAAATTGAATATAAATTCAAATCATATAACCAATTCTAAGTTCTTTGACTAGAGTTATTCTGTGTCAGAAACCTATTATGTGTCAAATATTTAATTACAGTCGAAATTCAGACCTGTATCAAGTGCGAATATTGTGTCTATTTTTGCCCCAACTGTTCAGGGTTGGACCTCTGCGGTCGTATGCAGCTGCGTCCGGCGAAGCAATTTATTAACAGTCTATTATAAAAGTTTTTGGCTATTTTTATTTTATGTAGTATATACATTTACACCTCTACTGACTAAGTAGTTTTAAACCAAATGTTTCTTGAAAAGTATAAAACCTCAACAATTCTCTAGTTGCATGCAAAATATCATGATAGTCACAGAGATTGCTCTAGATGTACCTGGTACCTTAATTAGCAGAGAAAATGGTAAGTATATGACAGCATCTTAAAACAGTGGTGTTTACAATTCTACTTCCATTTAGATTTTAATAAGGTTTAATTAGATTTTACTTTCTTTTTAACAGTGAGGAAGATGTACAGAAAGCTATTCATGCTTCTTTAGATGTCATGAAAGAAAAAGAAAAGGTTGAAGAACAACCAGAAAAGGAAGAAGAAGAAGAAAAAGTTTTACGTAATGCTGAGAACTTCCCTGTTCTAGGTAACAATGATTTACGTGTAGACTCACCTGTTGATTCAGATCATAAGGATTCTGACTCTGAAGCATTAGACTTCTCTATGGCACAACAAATAGCACTGAAAAACAAAAGATCTGTACAGTATGGTAGACTTATATCAGAAGAATTTCCCTCCTTGTCTGGAGAACCATCTACCAAAGATAAAACTGCTGAGACATTAGAAAAGAAACCTGCAACTGTTGAAATATCTAAACCGCAACCTATTATTAAATCACAACCTGTTTCCAAATCTGTATCAAAACCTGTATCTAAGTTTACTAATACAACATCTAAAGGACCGGTGGTGGATGATTTTCCCGGGCTGCCCACTAAATCATCCAGTATTAGCAGTGCTTTAGGTTCAGCGAAGTGGGTTTCTAAACAAACCGCCAAAGAAACAAAACAAGCTGCTGCCATGCCTGTACAAATTACAATGAATGTCTCCGCAAATAACCAAAAGTCGTCAAAAAACAAAACTAAATTATCTAATAAGACATTCCAAGATGAAAAAGACTTTCCATCTTTAGGAGGACAGCCTGCGTCAACATCTGCATCAAATATGAACTGGTTACAAAAATCTGCCAAAGGGAAGAGTAAGCCTATACAAGAAAAGAAACCTATTGACTGGTTTGATGCCGATAATGACTTTGAATATAGTATTGAAAATGTAACAAAACAATCACAACCTATTCTAACTGATGATAAAAAAACTAATACTAGTGATACTAAAAAGAAGAAGAAGAAAAAAGACAAATCTAAATCATCAGATAATGATATTAATAATGATACAAAGTCTAAAGGTGGTTCCAGTTTAGATAGTATTGCTAGTAGTCTATTGAGTACTAAAGGAGTTACAAACAGGGAACAACCTAAAGTTGAAAGCCCAAAGGTTGTCAGAAAAGAAGAAATTTATAGGTCAGCAAGTCCTGAACATTTCAAAATAGTTGACAAGAAAGTCAAAACTGCAGATATTCCTGAAGATAACAATAAATTTTCAATACTGAGCAACGAAACTGAAATAAAGTCCTTTGTTGAGAGCAAGCCAAGGTTTGTACCAAAACAGAATGACAAAAATCTTAAATTGGATGATTTTCCAACACTGGGATCGAGTAACCAGTCCAAAGCACCACCACCGGGATTCGCTAAACCTCTGCCATCAAACAGCAGTGTGTCAGCAGCAAAGCCACCAGGATTTGATAACGTCTCTTCCTCTAAGAGACCTCCTCCTGGTTTTGCTATGCCTACATCCTCACACAAGAATGGTCATTCGACATCTGAAGAAAAATCATGCACTTTTACATTGAAAAATATCATGCCGATGATGACGGAAATGAGCAACTTTGATTATGTGGCTCCGGAGAATTCTAAAGTAAGAAATCAGAAACTGATTGCCGACATTATGTTACATTTAGGAGAGGACAAGGAAAATTTTGATCAGTTTAAAACTGTGTCTGCTTCATTCCGGCAAGGAACAACAGATGCTGCTGAATATTACAAACAATGTGAAAAGTTGATAGGGAAGGAGAATTTTGACATTATTTTCCCTGAACTTCTAGTCCTCCTACCAGACATAAACAAACAACAACAACTTTTAACCACCTACAAATCTATTCAGGAGAAAAACAAAAGTGGTCATGTGATCAGAATTTCTGGTAAGAGTGGTGATGCTCCATGGAAACAAACATCAAACTTTCAGACATGTCCAACATGTCGACAGGTGCTCCTTTCATCAGATTACACTGAACACACATCTATACATGGTAGTGCATCAGACTTCCCTTCTCTAGGTGATGGTGGTGGAGGACATTGTCTAAGGTCATGGGTCAAAGGGAAATAAATTGTGTTACCCTGCCATGTAAAGAAGAAAACAGTTAACCTACATTGTTTTATGTATTCAATCTGTTTTACATTAGTTTTTAGTCCAAATTTTAGAATAATATGGTTGTCACATTATCAAAGCTTCAAGAGATTGTTTGGTTTGTAAAAAGAATATCATTACTTTATTTTCATTAAGTTTTCATTCCTGATGTACTTGTAAAACCACTGTGTTGTTATACAAATGGTCAATCAGTGTACTGGATTTGTGTCCCCCTTGAAAAGATTTAAAAAAAGATATCCATTTGGATGATAATCGCCTTACCTATAGAAATACTTTTTCATGTCTTTTACAATTTGTATTACTCTTACTATTTATGCCCCTTGTTAAACTATTTTTTAATGATCATGTTGTTAACAATTACAATGAGATTTGCCTCCTGAAAATATATGTATATATGGCATGTATGGTTTGCCTCCTAAAATTATTTAAAACAGAAAAAGTTTGATTTTATTAATTTTGGGTTTTTTTCAAGAGCATCTGTATTTTTTGTCATTCAAAGGTTCTTGCACATCTATAACATGTATAATTCAAATGGCTGTCAATCATGTTTGTCAATTGAGCAAACTTGAAGAAACCATGTTAAAAAATTATTTTCAGAAAATATAGATATTTTTCTCAAACATAATGAACTGTTCATGTGACCAATAATAACAGACAGTATATAATATTTCATTGTTGTACTTATAAATTTAAATAAGGTGTACAATGTTTTGTTATGTAAATTTAGAAAAAACATCTGAAACCTGCAATTCTTAAAAGAAGCTTGATAAAGCTAATAATAAATCTTAATCAGAATCTTAAGTTTCTGTGAATTATTATATGACCACCTATACTGAGTAAAAGGTTTAGCAACATATATTTTAATTAAAAAAACTTTAAATTGAAATTTTCTAAAGTTGCAGAAAAAAAAATTTATAACCAGGTTTTTGTGATGTAAAAATTGCAAAGTGGGGTTTATTTTCTTATTAACAATAAGTTATTTATTGTAATGCTTAAAAATATAATTTATTTTTGAAAAATAAAGTTAAAAAGAATTGTTGCTTAATTTGTTTTACTCAGGATAATTATTATCTTCACTTATTTATTCCATCTGTGCATTAATCCATTAAGCTTGGTAAAAACTATTATTATAACTTGGCATTTGTTGTCTGTTGTCTGCCATCAGTAAACTTTGCTTAGCTCAGACCTACTATGGTGGTTAATAAAATCACAGTAAAACTTTTAAGGAGCAGGCATATAATAAGCCGCCCATTGTCTGCTATCCCTGGATGAGTCCTGACCTCTGATAAAATGTCAGCCACTGTCTCAGGTTATGCTCACAAACTTGTTAAACCTGCCACATTCATGATGTCAGAAGCCTGTAATCCAGTGGTTGTAAATGGCTTCTCTATGTCGTAACAGTTTTTAGAAGAGAGATGAAAGATACCAAAGGGGCGTTCAAACTCATTAGTTGAAACAAACTGACAATGCTATGGCAAAAAACGTAAAACGAAAAAAAGACAAGCATTAGTATACAAAACTCAATATAGAAAAGCAAACTGAACAATATGAAACCCACCAAAAACCGGGGGTGATATCAGGTGCTGTGGAAGGGTAAGCAGAGCCTGCTCCACATGTGGCACCCGTTGTGGATCTCATGTAACTTAAGTTCAAACCCGGTGACAAGTCTAATTCGATAATTCACATTTGAGAAAGAGAACGTAATTGAGGTTGGAAGTTTATTGTTTATAAAATAAAGCTGGCTGTTAGTTTATTGTCTTAATTGTTTCACATCCTGTATCCCAGGCCTTTCTTATATATAGCTTTATTGACAAAGTGGGATTTTGTCATTTTTGAAGGCCCTAAAGTGATCTGTAGTTGTTCACATCGTTGTCCTTTCTTCTTTGGTGAAAAGTTGTCTCACAGGCAATTAAACTATATCCATGTGACCACATCTGATTAGTTTTATATGAAGGAACTAACTAGCGGTTATCAATCTTGAATTCATTGATCATTGTGTTGCTAATGGACCACATTTTTGTATTGAAATGTTAGAAGAAAAAAATCCTTACTCCCCCCTGCCCCTTATTTTTCTTGAAAAATATTTGAACATTGTAACGAAGAAGCCTTTATTTAGCCAACTGACTTTGAAATGATGGAGGGATGAACTTTTGTTTGAATAGATGTATTAATGTAGACATATTAGTTGGTGTCTATCATAACTGCAGAGTTAAGTGTAACCAAGATAAATATGATCATCCTCTGGGCCTCTAGATTAAAGTTAGTTAATTGTAGTTTGGTCAACCAACCAGCATGGATATCATGGTAAAATGCAATTTATTGTCTAATATTTTGAAAATCAAAAAAGATGGAGCAAATCTGACCAATGTGAATAACGATGTGTAATAAGAGACAGCTACCCAATGACAAAAAACCATAAGACATTTGGAGGTCAACATGTAAAAGGCATGGAAGTTTCAATATACCTTTCAGTCTAGAAACGTTTCGTATAAAGCTAAGCGCTTGTCAATGATTTGCCATCAACACCAAATTGCAGGAGGAAGCAACACACAGATATAATTATAGACAACCACTGTCAGGGTTCCCGACTTGGAACAGTTGTCTTTTTTGTGTGGCCTGCAGCTTAAATTTCAGAATATGAGACATAGGTATGTTTATTGGGAGATGTGATAATTGTGTAAAGCTTTTAAATACCTCTATGTTAAGAAGAGATAGAAGATATCATATTTTGTGAATAAATGGCTTATAGTCTGAATATTCAGTCTGGCAGTTGTCCTTGTCCAATTAGAGAAGAGCCTGTTATTATGTTTGTGTCATTATAAACGTTTTCCTGCTCGGATAAGTTGCTCATTTACTAGGAGTAATAGTTTAACTATATTTTGTCTATGTTATGAAAACAAAGAAACCACTTGACCTTGGTTCTCATGGTTAAAGTGACTGTTTGTGAACACGTCGATATAGTATTTCCATGGGTGAATTCATAGGCTGCTGCGTACTGGGAGGAGAATAGTTTTAATTATTTGATCTGTAGAATCTTGGTTAGGTGTTAGTATTATACCAATCAAACATGGTGAACATGGTGTCTACGGCCATTGGTCTGCCTCATTTTATGGTTCAATGATATGTCCGTCTCACTGGGATCATCAAACCTAATGTACGTGCCTGTCACACTGGTTCATTTAACCTTATATGCATGTCCTTTACACGGTACTTTCCGCCACTTATTCCGGTCTAGTCGCATTGGCATATTATTTAGTTGAGGGTTCATTTGCCGTTGTCTAAAATTCGCATGATATAATTATAACTTGTAAGTTTAAATAAGCAGACACAAATCGACTGCATGCAGAATATAAGGCATACTATAATAGATATATCTGAATATTATTCGACCCAACAGCATTAGTGGATTATAAGGCCCAGCCATATCAGTATAGAAAATATGGTTCATCCACATCAGTAATGAATATAATGCCCAGCCACATCAGCAGAGACTGATGGACCCAACCAAATCATTACAGAATTTTAGGTCCAGTCATCTCAGTACAGAAAATAATAGGCATAGTCACATATAAACATAATGCATTGTGACCAGGTTTGATGACTCGAATGTGAAACGTTCAAATTCTTTATTAAATATAATCGAAGAAGGGAATGACAGATCTGAAATATACAGATAATGACAAATTAATATAACTTTACAAATAAATGCATATGAATTTATCATTTTGTAGCAAATAATGTATATTATGTTTATTACACAATTGCAAATATATAATAATGCAAAATACAATTAAATGACAATTCTAAATGTAAACAATTTGCTAATCAATGCAAATGAAAACATTCCACTAAAGTAAGTTGACTAAATGACTCAATACAATACTGTACAACATTGAATGTTAATAACAGGTAAATAAGAAAATATAAAATATAAATTTTAAAATACAATTAGCAAAGTCAGTGAAACTAAATGAAATATTTAAGACGAAAACTTTTACTATTGATAAACCTTGAAATGATAAATACCTTATAAACTGCTGGTTACGGCTCATAATGTTACTTCTGGTCTAACTTATTCCGCATTCACAATATAAATAAAAATCACAGTATATATAGTAGAAATACAAGGTCAAACTATCAAACTAGCCAGTTCCAGATAAAATGACTGTTCAGAAAAGTAGTTTGTCCAGTAGCCAGTAGTGAGTAAAATCAAAGAGCCTACATAGAGTATTTGGATTCATTGTGTTCGAAATAGTTGGATCTCTATAATATAAGGGTAACATAGATACAAATGAAGTACAAGGTTGGGGATATTATCAAATAGATAAATTATACATAAATCAACTTGTCTACAGTATATTAACATAATCTGATATTAGGCCCAGCTTTCGCGGTACTGCTATAATAAAATTGTTCAGAGGATACGTTTCTGATTAGGTAATTTTATATTAACGTCCATGAATATCAGTTCGAAGTAGAATATATAATTCGTGCTTCAATACGTTTTGAGTTAAATGACACTTAAATTGAATGATTGATGTTTGTTTAACGTCCAGTGGCAAATATGTAATGTATATTCATAACAAGAGCAAATCAACAATAAATCCATCAGGTTGGTTCTTCAAAGAGGGTGTACCGTGATGAAGGGCAGAAATTTCGATACTCACTACAATATTTGGTTTGTTGGATAGAGACAGAACGCCATCAACGAGTTGTTGCAAGCCAATGAATTTTTAACGTATACAGAGAGCGTGCATAGAACTCTCCGTACACGACACATCGTATTCAATTTCCCGATGGGTTTAGCCATTGGCCTTATTTGTATACTGCAGTCAACCAATGTGTTCGCATATAGTTTTTATACGACCGCAAAAAAATTTTGTGGTCGTATATTGGTATGACGTTGGCGTCGTCGTCGTCGTCGTCGTCCGAAGACACATTGGTTTTCGCACTCAATATTTAGTTTAAGTGAATGGATCTCTATGAAATTTTACTATAAGGTTCAATACCACAAAAAGAAGGTTGGGATTGATTTTGGAGGTTATGGTACCAACAGTAAAGGAATTAGGGGCCAAAAAGGGGCCAAAAATAAGCATTTTTGTAACTTCCAGACATAACTTGTGTGTTAGTGTATGGATCTCTCCGACATTGTACCACAAGGTTCCATATCACAAAGGGAATGCTGGGATTGATTTTGGGGGTAATTGCCTCAAAATTTTAGGAAATAGGGGCCAAAAAAGGGGCAAAAACCAAGCATTTTTCTAGTTTCATGACAATAACTTGTGTGTAAGTGTATGGATCTTTCTGAAATTGTACTACAAGGTTCCATTTTACAAAGGGAAAGCTACAATTGAGTTTGGGGGTAATTGCCCAAAACGTTTTGGAATTAGGGGCCAAAAAGGGGCAAAAAAATAAGTATTTTCTAGTTCCAGACAATAACTTGTGTTTAAGTGTATGGATCTCTCTGAAATTGTACTGCAAGGTACCATACCTCAAAGGGAAGGCTGGGATTGATTTTGGGGGTAATTGCCTCAAAATTTTAGGAATTAGGGGCCAAAAAGGGGCAAAAAACAAGCATTTTTCAGGTCTCATGACAATAACTTGTGTGTAAGTGTATGGATCTTTCTGAAATTGTACTACAAGGTTCCATATCACAAAGGGAAAGCTGGAATTGAGTTTGGGGGTAATTGCCCAAAACGTTTTGGAATTAGGGGCCAAAAATAAGCATTTTTCTAGTTTCCAGACAATAACTTGTGTTCAAGTGTATGGATCTCTCTGAAATTGTACTGCAAGGT